GCACTTTGGAGAGGTCCCTAACAGCAGACTTTCCCATGGCAATGCGCCTTTTAATTTCCTGGCTGCTGGTGCCAAGACTGTTGACTATGGAGCCAAGCAAACGAAAGCTGTGTACAATCTCAATCTCTTCACCGTCCATCCCAATGCTGCCAATGGGTCCATTGGTGAGAATCTTTGTCTTCTTGACATTGAGCCTCAATCCATATTGGAGGCTGCAGTCCTTGACACTCTGCAGCAGGTGTTTCAGGTCCTCTTCAGTTTCAGCAAGCAGGGTTGTGTCATCTGCATAACGCAGGTTGTTGATAAATCGTCCACCAATCTTGACTCCACATTTCTCCTCATAGAGCCCAGCCTCCCGGATAATCTGTTCTGCATATAGGTTGAAAAGGTATGGGGAGAGAATGCATCCCTGGCATACGCCCTTCCCAATTTTGAACCATGCAGTGTTCCCTTGCTCTGTTCTGACGACTGCCTCCTGGTCCAAGTATAAGTTTCGCATTAGAACAATCAAGTGTTCTGGGATTCCCATTCTTCTCAGAGACAGCCATAGTTTGTTATGATCTACACAGTCAAATGCCTTTGCATAGTCAATGAAACACAGATAGACATTCCTCTGATACTCCCTCTTAGGGTAGGTAGGATCAAACCGGATTTTGGAGGATGAGAGTATTTGTGTTTATGTGGGGCAAACAAACAGTCCAGAGAAGACGGAGGCCAATGAGAGGAAAAATGTTGAGAAGTCAGGTTGGAGAATAGGAGGAGATATGGGTGTGAATAACAAGAATAACAGCTGACAGTGTTAGAGACTGTTCAAGATGCTTTCTTTATTATACTCACTTATCACCAAAACGACCCTGTAAAGTAAATGGTGTGCTTGTTATTACCATACCCTCATTTTACAGATGACTAAATTGAGGCACAGTGAGGTTAAGCATGCACCCCAAGGTCATCCAACTAGTGAAAGGAGGATCTGTTATTTGAATGCAGGCTTGCTGACTCCAGAATCTCAGCCCTGAACCATTATTCTGCACCTCTTCTCAGCTAGACTGGAGATATGCCCAACACTTGGCTGTTGGCAGGCTTTTAAACGTTCTCAGTCGTGGTCTACCTATTAGACAACTGGAGATAAAAATACTCCCCTCTGGATTATTGCTCAGGTGGCCTAGTAGTAAGCATCTGTGCTACAATTCTGAAACATGCAGTTCAAACCCACCAGCTGCTCTGTGGGAGAAGGATGGGCATTCTCCTTTCACACAATTAACTGACTCTTAAAACCCAGTGGAGGGTCAGCCATGGGCCAGTTCGGACTCGATGGTACACAACTGGATTATTGTGAGGATTAGAGGATATATTTGTGTCTGTGGCAGGTAGCCTGAGGAGGGAGCTCTGGTGGGTTAGTGGGTAAGGAGTTGCACTGCCAGCCCAAAGGCAAGTGCTTCAAATCCACCAGTTGCTTCTCAAAAGAAAAATTAGCAGTCTCCTCTTGTGTGACTGACAGTCTTGGAAAACCCACTGGAAGGTCAGCTACAGGTTGGTTCCAACTTAACAGCACATTGCAACAACAATGTTATAAAGAGACACACAATGAAGAGAAGGCTATGGCGATGGAGAGACATATCAAGGGATCAAATTTAGGGTTTGAGGAAAGTGGCCTCAAGAGAGAGGACAGGTGTTAACAATGGAATATCTGGAAAGTCAAGGGAAGAAAGGCCAGAGACTGGCAACACTCAGACCACTGTGTTTATAATGCAACCTAGGGGGGCTTCCAGACCATACCGACCTTCAAACGGTTGGCAGCAGTTTTACTGGTAGGAAGAACTGCTCCTCCTACCACTGTGTTTTCACAATCTTTTTTTTTCTTTTTATTTTCCTTTTCCCCATCCAGGCTTGGTCTTGACACCGCTGAACAGAAGACACATCTCTGACAGCCTCTCCTGAAAGCCAACACCTGGGAGACTCTCCACCCTCCCACTGCAGACCTGCGCGGCCTATACTGAGACCTGCAGTAAGATCCTCAGCCTAGGAAATATTATATCACTGCTTTGATCAATGACCATGCTCCTCACCCGGGATGACGTTGTTGTTGTAACGTGCCATTGTGTCGCCTGCAACTCATATGCGATCCTATGTGCAACAACTTTAAAGCCATTCTCACTGATTCTGACGCACATACGCCCATTACCCCAGTTACTGTATCAATCCATCTCATCCGGGTTCTTTCTCTCCTGTGTTGTCCCTCCACCCTTCTAACCATGATGTCCTTCTCCAAGGACTGATCCCTCCTGGCCACATACCCAAAGCATGTAAGATGGAGCTTCTGATTCCCAGGTTAGAATGTCTATTTGTCTCCACTGTCTACCTCTTCTGGTGCCTCTTAAGACCATCTGCACTCATCTTCTTGTTCCTAACTTTTCTCCTCCAGCTCTGGGCTTCCACCAAACTCCATTACTTGCTGGTCAGGGCTGAGGATACTTTTCTCCCTTCTGGGCCTTTATACTAGGTCCTTTAGAGGGGGTGCAAGCTGTTTGGACTTGATTAGTATATTAGAAGATTGATTGTTCAAAAAATTAACAGAAGAATGAGTTGGGTATCTGCTTCCATAAAGATTACTCACTCAAAGTCGTTGAGCCTATTCTGACTTATGGTCAAACCTTCTGTTAGGTTTCCAAGGCTGTAAAATTTTAATGGGAGGAGAGTGGGCAGAGCTGCTGGTGGATTTGAACTGCTGAAGATGTGTATGTAACCTTTTAGTTAATAGTACAAAATATTCTGCATTACACCACCAGAGCGATTACAGGTAAGGACACCTGTGGTACAGTTCTACTCTGTAACACACAGGGTTGGCTTGAGATGGAATGTCTCAATGACAGTGAGTTTAGTTTTTGGTTTATGTCTTTGCTGGGTTGAAACTGCCTTAAAGATGAGGAACATGCTTATGTTGCATGGGTTCTGTGAGGGGTGTCTCTGTGTATAGAAACTCTGCCTGCCTTACAGAGGTCCATAAGACCTTACAGAGGAATGGTTTGGAGGAACCAAGGTGGGAGGCAGGGCAACAGCTTCTGAGACAGTCTCTGGTATTATATTAAAAACTTTATACTAAAGTTTTGGTTTGGCAGACCCTCCACTTTCTATCTTATTTGGTAGGACTAATGTTTTGTTATTTGCATCCACTTCCTAAATAACATGCCTCCGAAAACTCTATGAACTTTGATAAATGTCGATAGTTGTTTGTAAAGACTTCAGGCCTTTTGTTCATAGGGTCGCTATGAGTCATGCTCTACTTGAAGACAATCAACAACAAAACAAAGTTTTCTAAATAAATATGTCTTGGAAAGCAGGCAGCCAGAGTGCTCTTTGGAGACAAGGACGATGAGGCTTTGCCTCATATACTTTGGGCATTTTACTAGGAGAGGCTGTTCCTTTGAGAAGGACATGATGCTGGGAAGGGTGGGGGGTGGGCGAAGGAGAGGAAGACCCTCAATTAGGTGGATTGACACTTGACTGAAGATGGTACAGGATATACCAGGGTTCAATTCTGCTCTGTTCCTAGAGTTGCTATGAGTCATACTTGACTCAACAGCACCTAACAACATTTTCCAGCACTGGAGAGAGGACTCTGGATGAGATGGATTGACACAGTGACTATGGCAATGAGGTCAAGAGTGTCAGAGACAGTGAGCTTGGCTCAAGGTAGGGCAAAGTTCAGAGCCATTGTTCACAGGGTCGCTGTAAGATGTAGTTGAGTGGACGACACATAACAACAACAACATAACCTTTTCCAGACTCCTCTGGTTTACTAGTCGGCTCCCACCTTATCATCCCAGGTTGTTGGGGCCACTCCTCTTCCTTCTGTTTTACTCTGTCTTCCTCATCCCTTCCCTCAACATTTGTCCACTTTTCTGAAATTTGTTCCCAAGGACATTGGGATTCCTAAAACTGTTCTGTTTCCATTGCTAGCGTGTCACAGACCATTTGTTATTCAGATATATGTGGCATTTCAATCATAAAAAGCTAATTTCCTGGGTAGTTAATTATAATGGAGTAAGAGTTGGGTTTTTTTATCATTATGAAAAAGAGTCCTGGGAACAGATTAAAACTGAAGGAAGCATTGATGGGTCAAACCTCAAAGTATTTATTCTAAGTGAAAGTCAGGACAGTGTTCTGCTTGAGTAGTCACTGCTGTCTTCTGGCCAGCTGGGAAATGCTTGACTTTGTTCTGCTTATGCTTAAAAATTACCTCTCGGTATTGGCTCCTTGTCAGGGCTTGTAATGATCTCATCTTCATCTTTCTTGTATTTGACTCTGATCAGATATATCAAGTAGATATTTTGATTCCAGCTTTTTACAAAGTGAGTTAACAGTCCTTTTAGCAGGACGTGGAGAGATGGATTTCTGCTGTCCATACTACAAGAGAGAGTACTTGCTGGTTGTTCGAGTCTAGCTTTTTCACCAGTATGTTGAGAGGCCTTGGAAAAAGCACTGAACTTCAGAGCCTCAGTTTATTCTTCTCCCTAGTAAAGGAGATGGGACATATTCTTTATAGTGTCAGCTAAATTATAGTGACCCATGACTGCATGCCCAGAATTGGGCATTAGAAGTGTTCTCACTTGCCCACCCTCATTTCTATTGAGTCAAAACCAACTCCTAGCTGACTCTCTATTGAGTTTCTGAGGCTATAAGTCACCTGGGAGGAGACTGTCCATCTTTCTCTCTTGGAGCCACTGTTGGATTTGAACCTCCAGAGAGGTGGAACCTTTGGGTGAGCAGCACTTTTCCCTATGAACTCCCTCAGAGCTCCCCCAGAAGTGTGTATTTAATCTCTGACATCCCTAGAAGAAAGGCAGGAAAGGTATCCCTTTACTGAGCATTGCATTTCCTCATATTTATTCTGTGATGAGACTTTCTTCGTTTCTCTATTCTTTCTCACAGAACTCTTGAGACCCAACCCGCAGATTCATCGGATGAAGAGTGCTTGAGAGACTAGTGGTCAGCCTTCTAAGATGGACAAAACAGATGGTATGCAGGTGGTTTTTATTTCCTGGCTTCAAGTAAGCTCCTGGGTTGAAAAGGGATTGTTACCATTAATCCTGGAAACGGGCTAGGGAAAACCTGTCAGAAGACGTTCCCAAATAGGCAGTGCTAGGAGGCCCAAACCAGGTATTTCAGTTATAAACAATAGAAGGCCACAGAGGACGAGCATGTAGCATTAGATTTGGTCTGTATAATCTTTAGAGCACCTTCTGATTCTCTCCCTTGTTTTATAGATGAGGATCTTGGGGTCTGGAGAAAAGTCACACTATGGTTAACCTACCTTTCACCTTGCTTATCTGTGACTCTACGAGTCATTTAACTGCTTCAAGCCTCAGTCCCCACATGTATTAGCTAGCTTTGCTCTATAATAAATCAATCCTGATTAATGACCAAAAAAAAAATAACAGACATTTCACATTTCTTGAAAGATTCTGTGGGTTGACTGGGTCATGATTCTGTGTGACTCAGCTTGGGTGATCTTGTCTGGCCCACTTCCGTGCCTGTGGCCTTCTAAGAGCCTAGATGAAGGCTAAATGGGTAGGCATGGCTAGACTCTCATGTTGGTTTGGTGGTTGACTTCGTGTCACCAGGGCATTGCTGATCACGTGCCTGTGTCTCTCATCACCCATCAGGTTATCCGGGGCTTGTTGACATGGTAGAGGGTCCTAAATGCAGCAAGAATAAACAATCCCAAGAGTGCAAGCAGTTTCCCCATGTCCTTTACTACATTTCCTTTTGACACAGTGTCCAAGGCAAGACAGAAGGCTAAGCTCAAATCAGTGTGGGAGGGAAGTATCAAAGGGTGAGGAACAGGTATATTCATATTACTTATGGAGTTGGTAAAGGATTCAATGAGGTAATATATGAAAAGTTGTTGAATGATTACTCTCTAGCACAACAAAAAAAAATGAAGCTCTATAGGTACACAATAGTTTTGTGGGGTGTTTTTGGTTTGTTTTTTTTTTTTTTGCTTGTTTTAGGTACACAATAGTTTAGCACTTAGCTGGCAAACAAAAGTTTGACAATTTGAACTCCCTTTGAAGAAAAGACCTGGTGATGTGCTTATTTGAAGATAAAAGTCTAGGAAATCCTAAAAGTCGCCATCATTTAAAAAACTCCCACAAGGATTGCTAAAGGAAAGGGGAAAGGTCCCGTATGAAAAACAATGTGTATGAACTTTATGAACTTTGTATGTAAAATAGTAGATAATAAAATAATTTCAAACAAACAAACAAACCACAACTCCCTCAAATTCATTGCCATTGATTCCAGAATTCAGTGTGTTTTCAGAGGCTTTAAATTGCACAGGAGGAGGTTGCCCATCTTTCTCCCACAGAGGGGCTGGTGGATTTGAACCATCTGCCTTTGGCTTGACAGCACAACTCCTTACCCTCTAGGCCACCTGAGCTACCTAATGGGATTGGCATGAGTTTGAATTAACTCCTAATAACAATCACAAAAATAGCACAATAAATGTATGGACAAATGTCTCCCTCTCCCTCCTCTCTGGTGAAAGTCATAGACTAGGCTCCCACCCGCTGACCTCCAATATAAGGCTTTTTTCATCCTCCAAAGTCAGGAAGCATATAATCCTTGAATCATACGGGCCTTCACTGGTGCAGGATTTAGGGGCCAGACATTAGTTCCAAGGCCTGCTTCTTCCTTTTTCCAAATGCAGTTACCACATATTTTAAGTCTGCCTTTCTCCCTGAGGAGCAGTCTTTTCATTGCATCCCTGGCTGTGGTCCCACAGAACTCAGTTAAGTCCCTTGCTGCCTGGGGGCCTGTCAGCCCTGCCTGCCTTCTCAGTCATTCCAGCCTCCTCAGAACGCTGGATGGCCCACAGCTGGCTCCAAAAAGTCCCCCTCCCTACAGCCGTACTTTTCTCACAAAATAAAGGCAGAAGAAGAAAAAGGCCCCATCTGCCTTAGCCTTTTAAGAGACTCATTGAATCCTCCTTCTTTCTCATTTTATTTTTGGCTACTTCCTTTCTAGTTTCTGTTCTTCCTATTTCTTTCAGATACTGGGCATAGGTTTTTGAACTTCTCTTCCTCACCTTTGATTTCTCTAATTAGTTGTCTCACTCACTGCATTTTCAATTTGTTCCTGAAGGTAATTACTATGGCATTTCTCTCCCTGCCTGTCACCTTCTAATTCCTCCATTCTCATCTTGGGGTGCAACTCTTAGAGTGGTGGCTGTGTTTGTGGGTCCTTCCCAAAGGGCAAGTGATCTGTGCTGTCAGAGGGAACCCTCCAGGTAGCTGAGAGCTTTATGTGTCTAATTTCTTTCTTTTATATTCCTGACTCCTTTTCACTCTTTCTCCTGATTTTTTTCCTTAACCTTTATTTCTTCTTGAGCTGTAGTCATACATAACACAAAGTATTTTCAGGGACAAGGCGTATTCCAGAAGCTCCTCTCCCACCTAATTCAGAACCAACCCAGGCTGCTCTTTAGACCACTTTGCTGAGCACCTACTATGAGTTGTATTCTTTACATGTGCTCCTAATAATCAACCCCAGCAGGTAGATGTTATTATTTCCTCTTTATAAGTTGTTGTGTGCCATCGAGCTAGAGCCAACTCATAGCTGACCTTCGCGTGGGTTTTCAGAGGCTGGAAGTCACACAGACGGAGGCATCTTTCTCACCCAGAGCAACTGGTAGATTTGAACTGAGTGCTTTGGTTTGGTAGTACAACTTGTTATCACTAGGTCACCAGGACTCCTTACTTTATATAAATAGGGGAATCCAATAATTTCCCCAGGGTCACCCAATTAGCAGATGACAGAGCCACAATCCAAATTGAGCCAGTTTGGCCATATGTTTGCTTTATGGGATCTGAATTTCATTTTGAGCCAAGGCAGTCGAGTCTGCCTAATTATTTCTTGCCCTGGCCTGATGCCTGAAATTCTGAGCTACTACACACCTGTCACCAGGTAGAATGAACATGAACAGAGCTTAATGGTTTCCCAGAATTCAAGTCCAGCTTTCCATGTGCAGTGGAAGAGAGAGAAGGGATGCAGAGTGGCAGTGGGAGAGGGAGTGCGGCATGATGGGTTCGTGTGTGTGTGTGTGTGTGTGTTCGCACACGTGAGCATGTGTATTTACCCTAAAGCCCCTATTAAACCTGTCATCCTGGATAGCTGCTCAGGCTCACAGACGCCTTTGATTTCCTCGTTTCTCTTGTGGAAGATTTTGCCTTTGAATCTACTTTATTTCATTTGATGCTATTATTGTATTTGTGCTCTGGACCTGCTCCCAGAGGCTACTAGGTAAATCAGTGCATTTCAACTGAATTGAGGCAATAAGCAGATAAATAATGCAGCCTCTCCTTTAGGAGAATTGTTTGCCTTCTAGGTCATAAATCTGTTCTCTACTTAACTTTAGACAAATATCTCCTCTCCAGCCTGTCCTGTCCTTGTAATGCAGGAGACTGCTGGGTAGGCCCTGGGACTTGGGTGTATAGCAGACGGCAACTTGGAAAACCAACATTTAGCTTGCGGTAAAAGCAATGGCTCTCATTTACTGACAAGACTGGTGTGTCTTTTATGGGGGAATCAGGATAATGCAAAATGTTGTGGGTAAGTGGGAACTTACCAGGAGGTTTTTGAGTGTAGAGGAATGTTTACCGTTGTCTACTTGCAGTCCTTCTTTTTATTATTGTTGTTATTATTATTATTATTCTATTCATTCATTTATAAAATTTGAATACATTGTTTTCCAAACCAGATTCTTCCAATTTCCCTCACCCTCCTATCCATCAAATAGTACAACCCCATGATTAATCTCCCTCACCCCTTGCACATCCTTGTCCCTCTGCTTCCACCCTCCCCTGCCCCTTAGATCCTCATACTCATTCTACAATATTGGTTTTATACAATATTTGTCCTTGTGGGACTGAGGTAATTCACTCAGCATAATGCTTTCCAGTCCTTCCCAAGCAAGGTAATAATTTATAAAATCATTCCTCTTGTGTGCTGCATAGTATACCTGCAGTCCTTTTGTAACATCTGTCTGCTACAAAAGTTCTGGAACCAGATGAAGGCCATTCTTTGGATCAGCACCAATGGCACATTCCATTCGTGCTGTGGTTGTGCCATATATGCCAGCAGGCCTGGCAGGTTTATTTATAACCTGCACGCCTGGTAGCCTCCATGGAGTGCATACTCATGAATTAAACATTTGTCTCTCTAGTTGGTTTCATTTAGTTCTTTGGCAATAAGTGTGTATCCCTAAGCATAGAGGGTCAAGTATGTGACACTGGCCGTGAAAAGGAGATTCTGCAACTAAGTGGGCAGAGCTGAGCCCTGATCTGTCATCACCCTGAAGGGAAAATGTGCCCAGGGTTGGTCATGTTATCATTTGCACCTTTTCTTTAAGTTGCCGCTTGTTCTCACTGCTTGTTGCTCCCTTGCCTGGATCCTGGTCTGCCATCTCCCAGCTAGTCTTGGGTCATCTGGGTTGTCCTTCCCTTCCTCTGCAAAAGTGCAAGTGTTGATTACACAATTGACCAAGCTTAAAATCTGGCTTAAAATTCTTCAAGACTCCCATGACTTCTTGATTACCCTTCTAAGTTTTCGTTCCCTACTGCCTACCTTTCTCTACTCCCCTTTAAGTCCTAGTCCTATCAACTCCATTTGCAGAACCCAGAAATACTGTATTTTCCATATTCACATCCTTGCACATTCTCTGACATAGATAAAGAATGCCTATTCTAATTATTGTTACGTAACAAACCACCGCAAAACTTGGAGCACTAAATGTTCCCTATTGGTATGGCATTTGGAAAACACATTTTGCAGAATAGAAGAGGCAATGAGAGTTGTCAAACAAGGAGTATTGAAAGAACAAAGGCTCTCCTAGAAAACAGGCTAGTCAGAATCAAATTCCTTTGGACTCATATAATCAAATATCTAAATTATTTTCCATGTCCTCTACTGGTGGATGGTGCAAGCTTATCCACAGCGCGTTGACCCAGTAGAGAACTTTCTCATCAAGTTATTCCCAAGTAGCCTGGCCCACCCTGGAAAGTCACAAGCCTCAGCTCTCTTTCACGCTATACACTCATCTCTCTCTTGATGAGAAATGGTCCTTTCCCCTCGCTACCTTTTTGACTGTCCTTGAGAACTGTGATATTCCCTTATTTGGCATGATTTGTTACACTGAAATGCGTGTTAGTTAAGCACTAAGCTGTTTTAGATGGAAAAGACCGTGCCTGTGATGTGCGTGATTCCTCATTCCACTTCTCTCTGATATTCATGTACCTGGAGGCTTATACATCTGAAGAAGCCTAAATAATGTAAAAGGCATAGCTCATAGATAGTACCAGCTTTAGCAAAAGTTGTTTGAACCTACTTGAATAATATTAGGGTTTTTTTAATACTTACCCATGGCTGATGAGTGAATTTCAACTCATAGTGACCCTCTATCAGGTTTATGACCTAGACAGTTATATATCACAACCTAAGAAAACTTCCCTATCCACAGTTGTTCATTAGTACGCCGATATGGTAAATTTCTAGCCATTTCAGTTCCGCAATTACTGCTCAAACCTGGAAAAACAGTCTGAGATTATTTTGTTTTGTTGGAGGTAGCCATATATATATATAGCACATTTGGAAGTGGAAGCTGTTCCTTCTCTCTCTTTTCTTGCAGACATTGGCTAAATACACATTGATTTTCTAAGATGTTTTCCCAGCACTGCCAAAAAGACTGTGAGCAGCATCTCAGCACACTTTGAGGTTGCACCATTTAGAATAAGACTTCTGTGATAATGCTAAGTTAAAACGGAAGATGTTAGGCTTCACTGCTTTGTAATACTTAATAACTTTGTGCTTCTTTTTCATGTCTTATGTCTCTCAGCCAAAGACCAGCCCTTTCAGATGGATGAAGAGAAAGACCCACCCAAGAGCCACCCATATTCTGTGGAGACCCCATACGGCTTTCATTTAGACCTGGACTTTCTGAAGTATGTGGATGACATTGAGAAAGGAAATACCATCAAAAGGATTCCTATCCACCGAAGGGCCAAGCAGGCCAAGTTTAGCACTTTGCCTAGAAACTTCAGCCTTCCTGACAGTGGGGCCCGGCCCCCTGTGACTCTTCCCCTCTTGAACTGGTCCCCCGTGGTGCCTAGAAAGGTGTCACTTGGGACAGAGGAGCGAGTCCAGACTCTGCCGTTTGGTGATTCTTCCCAAGCCTTAGCCAGCAGCGCTGAGCTGAGCTACCATAGGAAGGCCTTGTTGGCTGGAGCCACCAGGCAATTGCAGGACTCTCCTTCTGAGAATGATGAGCTCTGCTCTGGGAGTGGACGGCCCCAGCTTCTACGAGCGTCCAGCATGCCGGCCACGCTGCTACAGAACAGGGCCTCCGAGGAGCTCTCAGCTCTCCCTCCACCTCCCACCCTCGCTCCTCTTCAGGGGGAGGGCAGTATCTGTGATGGCACCTTTGGTCCTGCAGAAGACTTTTCAGGTCTTCACAGTGCCAGTCCCCAAGCATCCAGCCAATCAAAAGTCAGAGAGCTGGGAGACCTGGAGATTCCAGAGCTGGTCTGGGAGAGGGCTGAGCCTCCAGAGGGCAAAGAAGAGATTCCGAATCATCTCTCTTTACCAGCTCCTTCATTCTTATCCCAGAATGCACTTTCAGAGGATGCAGAAGAGGAACATGAAACTGGAGAAGTGGAGCTGGTGGTCACTCCTGGCTGCCCAACACCAAGTCCCCCACCTCTGCCATCACCCATCCCTGAAAATGAACTCCCTCTAGAAGAAATTGAGCTCAACATCAGTGAGATACCACCCCCACCACCTGTAGAGATTGATGTGAGGAGCATTGGCATCAGGGTGACGGAGGAGAGCCTTGGCCTTGCCAGTGTAGATCCCAGTAACATCTCCACCCTTCGACAGCAGATCATAGCTCTCGAGGGCAAGCTGTCCGGAAGGAGTGAGGAGCTGGCCCAGGTCAGAGCAGCCCTCCAACAGCAAGAAGAGAAAATCCAGGCCAGAGAGCAGATCATCCAAAAGCTAGAATGCACTGTGGCCCAATTAGAAGAAAAGCTTAGCCAAAGGAATGCCAAAGATGCTCAGACATTCACACAAAGACACCAGGCTGATGCCATGGTGAACACTGACCCCCTCCATGAACTCCTGACCAGGGAGACATGTGATAAGAGCATTGGGGTAAATTTTCTAGGCAGGATGAAATCCAAAAGCTGGGAGACCAGAGGAGAAGAGAATGGCATCCTATCAGGGCAAGATATTTACAAACAAGGAAATCAGAGCCCAGCAGAAAGGGTACTCCCATCCCACCTGTCACTGCTGCAGGGGCCTGAGATGGTCCCCAACCCCTCTTTGCATAGCTGCCTCTCCACTGAACTCAGGATTGAAGAAGCAGGTCCTGAACAGGAGGGAGGCCCTTGGGTAGGAAGAGATGATCTGGCCAGAGAAGCAGAAGGCTCCTCATGGAGCAGCAGCGGAAAGCCACCCCCAGCAGGGAAAGGGGAGGCCTGTCCAGAGTTCCCTGGGAAGGAGTGTCCCAAAAGGCCACCAAGCTCACCCACGGATGTCACCATCGGGCAATATGTCAAGAAGATCCAGGAGCTCCTGCAAGAGCAGTGGAACTGCCTGGAACATGGGTACCCAGAGCTGGCCAGCGCCATCAAGCAGCCCGCCTCCAAGCTCAGCAGCATCCAGAGCCAGCTGCTGAGCTCCCTCAACCTGCTGCTGTCTGCGTACTCAGCCCAGACCCCCCCACACGAGCCCCCAGCTCCCTCCACCTCCCCACCAAGGGGTAAACACTGCTGCCCCAGAAAGGGACCCGTGTCTCCTTCCCAGGCTGAGTCAGAAGGAAAAAATGATTACTAATGATAGGAGTATGTTTTTGAAAGAGAATTAGGCCCCTGCAAGAACCTAGCGGAATTAAAACAGATCTCAGGAATGGTGGAAGCCTTCCTCTTGTTCTCAGGTTGGGACTGAGTGTAGGATCACTGTCTACAGCCAGCCAGCCAGGCAGGGTACACAGACCTCAGCTGAAGAGGGCAGATGGAAGCAGAGACCCAGTCGCCCAGCGGGCTGCTGCTTCTCGTGTGCACTGTGCAAAGGCCACGTCCAGGCTTTGTGGCTCTTTATGCTCTCATCATCAGTCTCCCTCATTGTTTCCCAGACTCTTGTGTCCTGTGTTCTCTCTGGCCGTCACACTGTAAAGGTTTTGGAGGAACGCTGTATTGAAGATTTCCTCTGCGAGCAGCGTGTGTGCATGTGCCTACACGTGTGTGTGCGCGAGCGTGCTCACACGTGCAAGCATGCATGCACGCCCATGTGAATGAATGAACTTCACATGTGGAAATCTGCCCTTTTGGTTGAGTGGTACTTCCCCTCGTAAACAAATCAGTCTTCACTCTGGAGTAAAGTAGAACCATATTTCACTTTGCGCACCAGGCAGTCTGTGGGTCTGCTTCCTGCCCCAGATCACAAGTTGGCTTCTTTTTCTTCACTTGGTGCTGGTTCTCGTCTTGCCCAGTGGGAAACGCGTCCCATACATCTGAGCAGAACAAGAGGAGTTTTGAGCTCTCTCTTAACTGTCGGCCATGCTCCCAGAGCCACATTACAAATGTCAACTTGCATGTGAGCGTGGAGGGTCCAGAGAAGTGGCTGGGCTAGAAGAGACCTAAATTCTACCCCTGCCTGCCATTTATGTATGACTTCGAGCAAGTCTGAGCCTCCGATTCCCCAGTTATAAGACACTTGCCCTGCAGGGTGCTTCTGTGAGCATACTCCCACAACTTCGCTGTCATCCACACATAAACACCAGCTGCCCTTGGGTTAACTCCGCCTCATGGCGGGCCCATGTCTGTCAGAGTAGAACTGTGCTCTGTAAGGCTCTCAGTGGCAGATTTTAAAGAAGTACAAGCCATGCCTTTCTTCCCTCGCACCACTGAGTGAGACCCTCAACGAGGCAGATCGGCAAGGTGACTACCTAAATGAGTTTGAGCATCACAGAGATTGTGAGCATGGCTCAGGGTAGGGCCAGGTTCAGATCTGTGAGTTGTAGTTGATGTGATGGCACATGTTAACCAGTTGCAAACTTCCAGACTTCATGTACAGTAACGTTATTAACAGAGAGAGTTCTTCCAGCACTAACCACCATGCTGGATCCCCTAAAGGGCCCTCAAAACATTTGATTTGCAGCATCTGATTTCCCTGTTCCTCTGTAACCACTCAAAGCAAGATGCCTGGGTTTGTGGCTTCCTGGGGTTCCCAGATCCTTGTTTCCCCAACGTCACTCTAATGTGTCATGTTATGTCTGCCTAGAGATCTCCCCGTCGACCAGCCTTAAATCCATAATGAAAAAGAAAGACTATGGCATCCGTGCAGGAGGTAATGGGACCAAAAAGAACCTTCAGTTTGTTGGGGTTAACGGTGGGTAAGCATCGCTCGTGAAGCTCAGATCGCCTTCCTTGCTACCTCTCCCGCTGTCGTCTTTAGTGTTCTTCCCGAGGGGGATGCATCTGGCTTTCATTCTTCTTCAAGAGAGTTACTCTCAATGGCCCTTTAAAGCTCCCTCTCTGTTTGCATGCATTTGGCTCCTTACCAGCTCTTGTGGTCTTTTGGAACCTACGCTTCTCAACATGTTTTGGCTTTGGTCTCCCCAGGGCCAGGATTCCAGGTGACTTCTGGAAGTTTGGAGGGATCCCACAGGCCCTTTCAGGAGGGGTTTAACCTGAGCCTCAACATTGAAATGAATGCAAACAATAGTCATTTGTTAAATTCCAAATTCAATTGATTTAATTTTTTTTCTTTAACTTACTATAACAACTAAAGTGCTTGGGCAAGAAGAACAAAGCCTCATCAATTCTAGAAAGACAACACTGGGTTGAGATGTTGTGTAACTCATTCATTCAGCAAACATTTATTAAATGCTGACATTGGCTAGGTGATGAGAATCAAACCACGGTCCTTGCTTTTAGCCAGCAATTTGGACAAGGGCAGAGATAAGTTGGGAAGTAAGAGTTAAGTAACACACCAGGGTAAGTTCTAGTAGAGAAAGAAGCCAAAAAAAGAGGCATCCAGCCTCCTGAGATGCTGCCTCCAAGAGGTTCCCCAGAAGAGGCTGGAGTCCCTGCTCATTTGGGTCACACTAGATGGGAAGATACTGGATGCAAACAAGGGGTAACACCACAGTGATAGGGTCTATGGGGAAAAGAATGTGAGAGATGATGAAATGCCAGGGGAGAGCTGCTATCTCCACATCCGCTAATGTTGGCCCAAGGAGGCCTCGTTTTGTTTTGCAATTTCACCACTTCATGGACAAAAATAGTCACAACAAAAAGAAAACCTATGGCCCTAGAGACGATTCTACTCCTGGCGATCCCATATATTTCAGAGTAGGACTGTGCTGTATAAGGTTTTCTTCTCTGCCATCTGGAGAGAAGCAGATTGCCAGGACATTCTTCTGTGGCTCAATACTGGTTGAGATTAACTCACCAAGGTTCGGATCAATGCATGAAAATTTCCGAGGGCAAACTGCCTACACCAACCAGGAACTGCACTGTGCAGGATTGATTGAATCACAAAGCCCGAGGCAGGTTATGTCCCTACTCTGCTCAAGCTCTTCAGTACTCCTCACTTTGTACCCAAACCACCAGCCTCATCCTGGCCCTGGCTCCTGCCTTTCTTCCCTCAAGCATGCCCAGCCCAGGCCCACTCAGAGCTTTTACATTTTTTAATACTCTGTTCCTGTGCCTAAAATCTTCTTCTCCCATTTGTTCCTCCTTGCTTATCTCTCTAATGTGGTGCTTCTTAACTTTGACTGTGCATTGAAGACACCTGGGATGTTGTGAAGACTACCAATGGCTGAGTCCTGTCCCCAGACGTTCTGATCCAGTTAGTCTGTTATGTGGTTCAGATTTTATACTGAGATTTTCAGCACCCTCAAGTGGTCCTAATGCACAACTCAGGTTAAGAACTTTGTTCTAATGAAGGCAGCCCTTCTACCTCTCGCTCTGTCCCATTGCCCTTTATAATTTTATTCACTATTATTAGTTCTCTGAAGAAATTATTTGTTTACATACTTCTTTTCTGCCTTCCCCTGCTAGAATATGCATTCATATTATAAGTGCTCTTAGGGATACTGGTCGCATAAGAGTTAAGTGCTCAGCTGGTTGCTAACCAAAAGGCTGGTGGTTCAAGCCCCCTTTGCAACCCTGCGGGAGAAAGACCTGGCAATCTGCTCCTGTAATTGACATCCAAAGAAACACTAAGGAGAAGTTATACTCTGTCATAAGGGGTTGCTTTGAGTCACAAGTTGACTTGATTGACACCTAACAACAGCTAAGAGCAAGGACTTTGGTGCAGTGTTAAGAACACTGCTGGTACAGAGAACATGCTTAGTGAATTTCTGTTGAATCAATGAATGAACTTCCTGGTAAAGTGTTACTGACCCACTTCTAAGAAAAGCATTTCTTGGTAAATGTAGTTTGCCCTCCACTTTCTTAATCCCAAAGCAAAAGGCTGTCCAAGCACAATAGAGAAATAAATATTTGGGATTTAAGCAAGAAGAGACTAAGAAGCAGGCTAGCTTTGCTGGCATTTGTGATGAAAATCTTCATCTTAATGCCCACATCCTCCATCTGGGGCCCTCTGTTGATCATCATCAGAGGGATCATTGCTTCTTTATGATTTTCCCCATGGTTTCTGGTCTACATAGTCATTTATAGTGACTGTGTATAATGACTACAAATTTATGTAGCATTATAAGAGCAGACCCATGAGCCCAGTGGCCCATGATCACTCTTTTACTGTTTGCAAGCGACAGCTTAAATGGGGTGTAAGCGAGAGCGAGAAATGCTGGTTTTCAGATGTCTCCTGTTCACTGCATCCCCCAGAATGCCTGCTGCGAGCAGAGGCAGATGCTTTAATTCTTTGTGAGGTAGAGCTGGGCTATAACCAGCTTGTCAGGTATAGCAGGAGGGCTAAAGGCAGGCCTCACAGTCACCTAATGTCAAGCAATTTATTATAACTGGGCAGAGGGGGGCTATGTTTGCTTATATTTGTCCAAAGAGAGTTAGGATACTAACCCAAAGAAGGTGTCTTTCTGGAAGTTCAAATACACTAGCTACTCCCTTGCAATTTACAACCTTGGAAACATGCTGGAAGACCAGCTATGAATTAGAACCAACTCAAAGGCAAGGAGTTGCATTGGGCCAGGTATTAGGATTCCAGAAGCAAATGCTGCCTGGGAACCTTGGACTGCCTGACCAGTTAGAAAGCTGGGGTTTTGTGCTTTTACAAAGAACTTATTTAATTATCTCTTCACCCCTAATGGCCTTCAGCATGAAGAGTCCTTTTCTGCAAGTTTCTCTAGTTGAGAGTTTCGTGTGGCCCTGTCACTCCAGACTGCAGGTGTGGAGCATGGAGGATGAGATTGTAGACTAGGGAGTGTCACCTGGAGTCATCTCACGCTCCTTACTGTTGACGTCAGCACTAGGCGCGAAGGACAGAGCGAGTGACCTTTGTCTTCTCCCCAGCTACGAAACCACCTCAAGTGAGGAGACCAGTGGTGAGGACAGCTCCCCTGAAGACTTATCAGACAGTGAAGCTGAAAAGAAGTCTGATGGCTCTGAACACAGGAGGGGGAAAGACACTCACCCCAGCTCCGAGGTCAGGCAGGGCGTCCCCGAGGCCCACTGTGCAGGCCAGGAAAATAGGCCTGGGGAAGAAATCCCCCACCCCAAGACTGAGAGGTGAGTTAAATGGGATGTACTCCTCTGAGAAAGGGCAAGGGCTTTTATTCAACCTTTTCACCCAATTGTTTGTTCATATGTTCATTTATTTATCCATTTATTTGTCAGTCTTTATTTTCATTATGTGCCAGGCACTGTGCACTGATGTAATTAACCTATTGTGAAGCCTATCTTTGTAGAATATACTGCCGTATTGTCTTCAATAATAACAATAATAGAATATCACTGAACAGGCCACTTTAAAGAACAGAGATTCATTGTCTCACCATTCTGGAAACTGGAAATTCAAAAAGGTTCCCAGAGAGGAAATCTTCTCCATCCTACCTTCTTTCTATCCCGGCTTCTTTTTTTTTTTTTTTATTTTATTAGTTTTAATGAACATTTACTGGGATTTTGAGTTTTCATTCCTTCATTGCTGCACCATTCTCTCTACCCTCCTCCCCAGTTTGTTCTTCTTCCCCGCCATCCGAATGTCTGTTTTAATTATCCAATTGCCACAGTGCTTGCCAAAGTCAGTTCTGATTAATCTCCTTTGTCGGTGTGTCCTTTGCCATTCCCTATCACTCCTCCCTGAGAGAGACTTCACCCTGATTCATAAGGAAAAGGGGATGGCGTATTCTCTTAGCTACTTCCTGCTGAAAAGGGACGCTGTGGGTTTCAGGGTGAAGATCTTCTCTCACTACTCTAAAGGGCCCCTTTGGCAGTAGGAAACACATAGACTATTATGGAGATTGATTTTGGAATTTAGATGCACTGTTATTAATTGTGCTTAGCCGTACATGTTCATATCCCTGAAGATGTATCATGGGGGGGTTGCAACCTAGAAGACACAAATTTAACTAACAAGTTATAAGTACATGAGTCAAAAATTATGGAAAAGTAAAGATTCTTTCATTGTTTTACAAACCCTCCCCCAGGTCCCCTCCACCGTGTAGCCCTCGTTCTAGACTCCTGTGATGACAGAAATACCTAGTCACATATCTCTTTTACACAGTTTTCTCCCTCCTCTGTTTCAGTGCAGTATACATTATTGAACACATCTTATTCAATCTCTCCCCAACCCTGAGGTTAGTCCCATTCTACAACAGTGGCATCCCGGCTTCAAATCACTGCCAGCAGTCCTTGGCAATCTCTAGCTGCTTATCTTCATATGGTGCTATTTCCCTGTGTATGACTTTTTCTCTTCCTCCTTATAAGACACTAGAGTCCATACTCTGTTGATCTAGTAGTTAAAGAGTTCCATTACCAACCCAGAAGCAAACTGTTTGAATCTACTACCTGCTCCAAGGAAGACAATGGGCAATCTCTTCCCGTGCAATTTACAGCCTTTAAAAATCTACTGACAAATCATCTATGAGTCAATTCCAATTCAATGGCAGTGAGTTTTTGAGAGCTACTCTGGTGTGACTTCATTGATACACAATCTATAAAAAAATTACACTATCCTTAACATCTTTGGGAGACAGTTCAATTTATTACACATATTTAGATCTCTAGGTGTAACTATAACATATATCAAACACTTGAAATGTGAAAGACTTTATATGTATTGTTTACAATCTTTTTAACAATTCTACAAACTATCTTACTGTAATACTCACCTTCAAAGCCAAAATACCCAAACCCATTATTCTCAAGTTGATTCAAACTCATAGCCATCCTAAAGGAGAGAGTGTTGTTGCTGTTGATTGCTCTTGAGTTGAGCACCACTCATAGCGACCCTATGGACAAGAGACCTGAAGCCTTTCTCCTAATTACGTTGTTTCTCTAAGCTCATAGAGTTTACAGAGGCATGTTGTTTAGGAAGTAGAGGCCACTCCTGCTTCCAAACCTGTCTTAAACTGAGAGCTCACCAAAGACTGTCCACTATGTACAGCTGTTATAGCATTTGAAACTCCACTGGCACAAGACTTGGTATCACAGCAACCCCAGGTTACTTCAGTACAGCATATTGACAGAAGAGTGCTGTACCACTTAGAAGAATGTTCCTCCAAAATATAATAACAATCTGCTTTTAAATACAAAGGCCTCCATGATGCTTTATGCTAAAGGAGAGAATAGATTTTTTCCACATCTGTGCCTCAGTTACCCTTTTCTCCTACTCCCAGGAGCAACTGGTAGGCTCAAACTATCAACACTTCTTTTTTTATTTATTTATTTTTCTGCTAGTTTATTTACAAAATTCAAATACAAATTTGAACAAATTCTTTCAATTTCCCTAATTATCAACAATTCTGTTTGTCACCAAAGATGTAACCAGAAAACCACCAGGGATTTTTATACCCACTTAAAAAACAAACAACAACAACAAAAAAACCCAGAACAAAACAACAAAAGCCAACCCAGACAGCTCAAACTCATTGCCATTAAGTCAGAACCAACACATAGCTGACCCTCAGGTAGATTATTTGGAGGTTGTGAATGACGTAGGAGGAAACTGCCCATGGTTCTCCTGAGGAGCTGCTTGCTGGTGGGTGCAAACTGCCAGAGCAGTGCCACCTTTCGGTTAACAGTGCAACTCCCCACAAACGACTCCACCAGTGCTCCTTCAAGTCTACTCCCATATGTAAAAACAGAAGCTTGCTGAAGTTAAGGTCCCACTTAGCATAGGGAGAATTCCCACCCAATTCTTGATTCTCACCCTCCAGTTTTCTGCCTCTCCCACGCTGGAAGCATCCTGTGTCTTTAGATGTGAAGGGAGATTAGATTATGAGGCTATGAAGAGTACTGGCTGCTTTTAGAATTGGAGCTCCCAGCCTTTCATGGCCTGCCCCTGCTGTATGAGTTGGGGCAAGTTACTGAAACTGGGTTGACTGATGTTCCCCAGCTATAAAATCTGATCTGTGGATTACACAAGAAAAAGTCTGAAAAATGCCTTGCAGTTACTGGCCCATAGTAGATCTCAATGTGTGGTAAAAATAAGAATGTTGTTGTTGTTAAGTGCCATTGAGTTGGCTGAGATTCATAGTGACCCTATGTAAAATAGCTCTGAAGCCTGTGCTGTCCTGACCAAGTGTCACTGACTCCAACACAACTACTTCCACTGCACTAGTCACTGTATCAATCCATCTCATCTGGCGTCCTCCTCTCCTGTGCTGTCCTTGCACCCTTCTGAGCAAGAATGGCTCTCTCCTGGCTACATGCACAAAGTTTATAAGACAGAGCTTCAATATCCTAGACTCTAAGGAAAAACTCCGTTTCACTTTCTGTAAGGCAAGCCTATTTGTTTTCTTGGTGGTCCATGGTATGTATGTTCACGACTCTTCTCCAGCACCACAACTCAAAGGCATCAATTCTTCTATCCTCCTTAGTCATCATACAGCTCTCTCAAGCATAGCATGTAATTGTGAAGACCATAGACTGGATCAGGTGCACCATCACTATCATTATCCCTAGGGGTAAGGAATTTCTGGTAATTGAGGGCTTATCAATGAAAAAGGACTATTCCTTGGACTATTCCATCATGATTGGAAAGGTAGAGAGATAATGAAAGAGAGGAAGACCTTCAACTAGATGGATTGACATGGTGACTGCTTCAGTGGGCTTTTGAATGTGTCAGAGAGTGTGAGGATGGCACAGGACAGGACAGGGTTCAGATCTGCTGATCATCACGTCTCTATGAGTTGTCTTCCACTTGACGGCACCTAACAACAACAGCATGACCTAGTAAGGAATTGCACTGCCAACCCAAAGGCGGGCAGTTCAAATCCACCCCTGGCTTCATGGGATAAAAATCAACAATCTCTTCCATGCGACTTACTGTCTCTGAGGTGGTTCCAGCTCAATGGATGGAGAACAACAACATGAGACAGCAGTGGGACAGTCCCCACAGCAGAAGGTCTTGTAAGTGGCATGTGAGACACCAGAAAGAGGTGGGGCATGAAGGGGCTAAGGAAGAGACCTGGGCCTTCACTAGCCAGTACCTTCAGCATGTCCTCTTATAGCATGATGGGAAGTCTTTGTGCCAGAGAACTCAGAGACGGACCCAACTGAAGATCATTTTACCTATTGAGTGCTATCTTTTGGAATAGAACAAGGGAACACTGCATGGTTTAAAATTGGGAAACTTATGTGTCAGGGTTGTATACTTTCTTCATACCTATTCAATATGCATGTTGAGAAAATAATTTGTGAAGTTGGACTCAATGAAGAAGAACGCAGCATAAAAATAAGAGGAAGATTAATCAATAACCTTTGATATGTAGATGACACACCCCTGCTTGCTGAAAATGAGGGGGACTTGACATGTTTGCTGCAGAAGTTCAAAGACTACAGCCTTCAGTATGGAGTACATCTCAATATCAAGAAAACAAAAGTCCTTGCCACTGGCTCAATAGGCAACATCATGATAGATGAAGGATTGAAACTATCAAAGATTTCAACTTACTTGGATCCACAATCATCAACTTTGGTACCAGTAGTCAGGAGAGCAGGAGATGCAATTCTTCAGGCAAGTCCACTGTCACAGGGACTTCTCCAAAATACTGAAGAATAACGTTATCAGTTTGAAGACTGAGGTACACATGAATCAGGCTATAGTATTTTTAGTCACTTGCTATGCATCTAAGAACTGGCCAATTGAATGCAGATGAGGGAAGAAGAATTGATGTCTTTAAATTATGATGTTAGAGAAGAGCACTGAGCATCCATCCCAAAGATTGCAAAAGAAAGTTACTATGACTTGGAAAAAATGCCATTAGAGTGCTCTGTAGAGGTAAGGATAGGGCTGTTTAGGCTCACATATTTTGGGCATGTTGCTAGGAGAGGCCATTCCCTGGAAAGGGATATCATGACAAAAAGCGAGGAATTCCCCCCCTCCTCCCCCAGTGAGTTAGACTGACAGGGTGATGCAGCAATGGGCTCAAGTGTATCAGAGATGATGAGGATGGCACAGGACAGGACAGGAGTCAGCTCTATCATTTATAAGGTTTGCCATGGGTCATATTCAACTCTCTGGCACATAAAAGCAACAACAGCTAATATATGCTTGGTGCACTCTCAAGGGCTGTGTGAAGTAGACAGTGTTTAAGTGGCTAAAAAATCTGCTGCCTTGGGCTATTTCTAAAATAATTGAATATGTGAAATTTAAATTCTACACAAGGAAGCTTTCAGGAGCTAATGAACCTGAGCCTGCTACGAAGAAATAGATAAAAAACTAGGGGTCGCTAATACGGAAGTCTTTGGCTCATTTGTGTAACACTAGTGATGACTGGTGGAAGACAGGTCTGCGGGGCTGCCCCAACATGACAGCACCTTAATGCTGTGTGAATTGAGTGGAGCTTCCTGTTGACTGAGGCCATTAAGTCCAAACCGAAGCACTCAGGACTCCGAAAGACTCCACCTTCACACTGGCACAGAAAGAGGATCTCACCTTGGGCACTGGGCTCAGTCTAGTCTCACTTTATTGATCTGTTGGCACTTACAGTACCCTTCATGAGAGAATAACATGAAGAAATTTCCTGGTGTGAATGAGATTCTGTGGATTTTTCAAGTCACCTGTGCAAAATATTTTGGTATAAAGTCATTAAGACAAGTCTCCATTTCTCAGTATGTCAGGAATGATTGGGTTATCTGCCACACCCCTGCCTCAAAATAGCAGGTGAATGAAAAATACATTTGACTCATTCATTCACTCTCTAGAAGAATTCAGATGCCCTAGAAGCATCTACACTTTTCTATCCCCATATTTCTGAATAATGACCCTTAATGTTGAAGAGATGTCCAATTTGGGTGTTCACGACTGAGAAGTGGAAAAAAAGGATTGAAACTCAAAGCAAAATTTTTAAAAAAAATTATCAACATGGGAGACTGACATATAAATGTATGTATGTTTGTTCTTCACTCTAGATATAAACCATCTGAAGAATTTCTTACTGCATGCCAGGCATTGAGCCAACATCTTCCAGAAATTGGGACCACCACGGACCTTCTCTTGGTATCTGATTTTTCATTGTCATGTAAGATCCCCACACTATGTAAGCAGTTAGCTGCATCTGGGTAACATTGGTCGGTTGCCCGAGGCAGGCAGGGTGAGTGTGACGCACAGTCCTCCTTCTCTGGGTCCTCTCTCCTTGGCTCCTACTCTGCTGCCTGAGGTGATTGATTATGCTGAGGAAGTGGAACCAAGAAACACATGCAAGGAAACAGGCCACATGCACAGAGACCCTTAGCAAGTGTTATTAGTTGTCGCACCCCTGAAAGTCCTTCATAAATCGCTGCTAGTGGTATAGGCTCAAAATAGTCTCGTGGTTTAAGAGAACTGAGGGTAAAGCATGCGGAAAAGAGAATACAGTGCATTCCCAGAACTGTCATCTGTGAGACAGTGGGCAAGTTGGCTCACTCCTAAAGACCTCATTTCCTCATGAAAGAAGTCTCTGTGGCCTTTCAGATCGGCCCTTTCATTCTGTGGTCTTTCCGGTTTTCTTGTTGTGTGTCTCTGCGTCAAGGAAACAGAAACAAGAAAACACAACTGTTTACACCTTGGCACTTTCATGGCCCAAGAGAATTTCTACATGTAACAACTGGGGTCTACTTGTAGTCAGGAGCTCTGGTGTACTAGAGGGTTAAGGAGCTGTGCTGCCAAACCAAAGACAGGTGGCTCAAATCCACCAGTAGCTTCAAGGGAGAAAGATGGACAGTCTCCTCCCTTGTCATTTACAGCCTCTGAAAACCTGCTGAAGCATCAGCTATGAATTGGTTTTGACTCATTGGCAATAAGTTGGTTGTTGTTGTTTTATAATTGCATACTGATTCAGAACTGCGTTTAGAGCTCTTGTACATAGGGTCGCTATGAGTGGCAAGCCACTTGATGGCACATAAAAACAACATACTGATTTATTTTAAAAGTTTGAATACATTGTTTTTCACAAAAGATCCTTCCTATTTCCTTCACCCCAACCACCCATCGAATTGTACAACTCTATGCTTAACATCCTACTTCCCCTATTCTCACCCTTCTATGTCCACCCTCCCCAGCACCACCGCCTTGGATCCTCATACTCATTCTACAATAATGGTTTTATACAGTATTTATCCATGTGGGACTGAGTTAATTCACTCTGAATAATGCTCTCCAGTCCCTCCCAAGTTAAGTAGTAATTTACAAAATGATTGCTCCTGTGTGCTGCATCGTATTCCATTGTATGAATATACTACAACTTCTCAATCCGTTCATTTGTGGTTGGACATCTCGCTGTTTCCAAGTCCTTGCGGCGGTAAATAATGCTGCTATGAACATTTGAATACAAGTTTCTGTTTGAGCCTCAGTTCTCATTTTCTTGGGGTATATTCCAAGCAAAGGATTAGCTGGGTCATATGGAATTTCTATGTTTAGCTTTTTGAGGAAGCACCAAACTGCCTTCTAGAGTGGTTGTACCATTGTACAATCCCACCAACAATGTAAAAGAGTTCCTATCTCAAAACATCCTCTCCAACATTTATTACTTGCTGTCCTGTTAAACTTCGCTGCTGCTACTAGAGTGAGATGGTATCTCATTGTAGCTTTGATCTTTGATTTGCAGCTCTCTTATTGAATGGCAATGAGTTTTGAGAGTTTTTGTTATCAGGAGTAACAGGCACAGACATTTTCTCTGAGTTATGAGAGCAAATGGTAAGACCCAAAGTGTAATAATTAGTAAGCATTTTTAAAATACATTTTGCTTTCCTTGCAAGAGAAGAGTCCTAGGAGATTTGTTTTTTAAAAAGTTCAATTTAGCAGTATTTATTTCATGTCCAACCTGTTTTCACTATCTTATCTTAGCTGATGTCACCAAGGTCAGCTCTCAGTTGGGTAAAGAACCAATGCTCAATGTGAATGTTTATGTAAACTCCTGCTGTTTATTCTTAGACAAGTTACAGAACAAAATTACTTCTTGGCTCCTCATTTAAAATTCATCAGTATGTTCTTTAATATCAGCATCTTTTTTGCAGCTTCCTTTGAAAATTCCGTGGTCAAGGGAGATGTCTGTTACAGAAAAGGTGTTTCAGCCATGAAAGATCATTTTCTACCCTAGAAAAGTAATCAAAGCATGCATGTAATGCAAGCCTTACACCACACCTGCGTTAGAATGGAAGCACAGAACCACATTCACATTAGAGGACAGTGTGGATTGTAGAAGAATCTTACTCAGTAGAGCTATGGGAGTGAAGGAGACTGGAATGACTTTCCTTCTATTTTATAGAGGACCCCCATGAAAGGCTCAGAAAGATGTGGCTTCCAAAATCACATAGCAGAGCCAGGATTTCAAATCTGATCACATTGATTTTGTGACTCCCAGTCCAGAGCACTTTCTAGCAGGAAAACTCACATCCTTTTATCGGGATGAATGTGGCATCATTTCTACTACTTATACCCTATTAGTTTCTCTTATCTTTTAAGTCATAGCCCAAGTATTTCCTATTTGAAATCCTTGGGTCATGTTATACACACAGGTAATGTCATTGATTCTAGCATTCCTTATTTTCATGGTTCTCACTATCTGAATAGGCCCTTTGTCATCCTGGGGATTCAGGGATGTGATCTGAACTCAGCACTCTCTCAAATTGCTGACTAGTAAGGTTCTTATTACTGGTGTTTCCTGCTCCATCTTCCTTTTTATCTTGCTGTCTCGCCTGGAGAGATGACTGCACAGGTACAAATGGTCCCCAGTCCTATCAGCTCCAAACTCTACAGATATAAATGACATGGAAAAGTATGGAAAGCTGAAGGAATAGACACAATTTAAATTCACTGCCATCAAGTTGATTTAGACTGATAGTGACCCTCCAGAGGGTTTCTGAGGCTATAAATCGCAGAGGAGACTTTTCGTGTTCTCCCAAAGAGCCAGTAGTAGATTCAAAAACATTTAAAACTAGCCTTCCTAGTGGGAACTTTACCCTAGCATGTTACCTGGAGCACCCCAGGCCATACCCTCCTGGAACTGGAACTTGTTTTACTGTTTCAGAAGCAGAGCTTGAACACCATCAGTCAAGAATGGTTCCGAGTCTCCAGCCGAAAGTCATCTAGCCCTGCTGTGGTGGCCGCCTATCTTCAAGAGGTCCAGCCTTACTCACCCCACTTTCTAAAGCTGCTTGTCAACTTGGCTGATGGCAATGGGAATACAGCCCTTCACTATAGTGTCTCCCATTCCAACTTCTCCATCGTGAAGCTGCTACTGGAAACAGGTAAGAAATCCCTGTGCGAAGGGCATTTATGCTTCTTTCAAGTGTGGAAATTAGTAACTGGTCTGAGTTTCTCCCACATTGCAAGAACTGAGTTAGGCCATTTTGGTTTTGTTATGTAGTTTCTTCCCTTTATTATTACACATATTTTTAATAGTTTGCATATTATCACTCATATACATACATTGTTTTATGCATGCATGTTACGCTTTGTGCAATCTTTCATTTACACTGCATTATATTAATGTACTTTGTGTTTTATGCAATCATTCCTGTGTTGTTATGTGCCGTCGAGTCATTTTCGACTCATAGCGACCCTATGCACAACAGCCCTAAACCCTGCTCTATCCTGCGATAACCGTACTGCCTCTGACACACCCATCCTGATTACCCCAGTCACGGAATCAATCCATCTCATAGAGGGTCTTCCCCTCCTGCACTGTCCCTTCACCCTCCCAAGCATGATGTCCCTCTCCAAGGACCCGTCCCTCCTGGCAACGTGTCCAAAGTATGTCAGACGAAGCCCCAGAATCCTTGCCTCCAAGGAGTAGCTTGGTTTAATCCTCTCCAAGATGAATCTGTTTGTTTT